TCTAAAGATGGTTTTGCTTAGAGTTGTTGTTTCAATATACGCCTTGAAAATGTTGGCAAAGGAATCAAAACTGCTGTCTTTGTGCCCACTGCAGTTCCATGGTTTTGTGGGTAGTACTTTCCATTGAAGTGGAAGAAATTTTCTTTGAGGACTATTCTAAGCATTTCCGGCAAGTAATGTTAAGGAATGGGTTGTCTTTGTAGAAATTTTCATATGCTTTGTGACAGACAATTTCAATATACCCTCGTTTTGCGGTAAATTTTTGTCAAGACTCATAACGTCCATCGAAACAAGAAATGTTCGGATTTTCACATTTGTATTTTCAGTGAAAGGTATCATGTCTGTGATTTTGATATTGGTTGTAGCATTGTATCAACAAATTTTGTAAAACACAGAACAAGGTTTTATTGGAAACCAAACATTCATGTTTTAACAAGGGGGTGGGTCATGGAATTTCCAGCCTTGCTTTAGGGGTGGGTCAGTCATTTTTGTGCCGAAGGGAGGGGGTGGGCCATGTGTTTTTTATCAACCACATTTCCAAATGCTCCGGCCCACCCCCTCCTATACTTTTTGACCAGTCCCTAATGTTAACATTAAACATTTCCCCATAAACTCCAGTATGCCCTTGTTACAATAATATAATGTGATTGGTGAAATTACGTAAAACAATCAGGTCAAATGTTACAGTGCTAACAACGTCTTTTTTGCGCGTTTTGTGTCATCACAAATTTGTGACAATCGGGGTCAACAAGTATTTTTGCAGAAATGACATCATGTGCCGTGTATTATGACTTCATCTATCACCCTTTCCCTATCAATTCTCAATAATTATTTGGGGATGTATTGGTTTGACAGCCCTACTTTAAAGGTATCATTTTATTTTCAGATAAAACATGAGAAGAAAAAGAAAGAAGAAGGAAAGAGGGCTCGTGAAGACGAAGATGTTGTTAAAGCCTTGTTGTTCAATGCCTTTGAAAGGCATCAGTATTACAACTTAAAGGACCTTATTAGCATTACAAAACAACCAGTGGTAAGAATTGTTTATGAAATCCAGGATGTACAGCACCCGGGGTGGGTGGTACTCCTTATAATGGCCTATATGGAGAGGCTCCCCCTGAATGGGGCATCTTTTTCAGGCGTCGGCTATATGAAGGGGTAGGGATTTCACTTGCTGAAGTAAATGAAAGGATAGAGAAATGTGTCATTTTGATAGGTGAAAATTATGGCTTTGAAAAATTCAAGAACACTTGAAATCTGGTGTTGTCATTTATTCATATTTTGAAAGCAGTGCATTCATAGCAGTTAAAAGGGATGCAAAGTTCTAAACTAGGCGTGAGAAAGGGGTACCATTTGTCAATAGAAGGTATACGAAAGGGTGCTTTTTGGTATGTAAAGGGGTAAAAGGTTGGACTCGGGGTGGACCCTCCCTGTATAAAACTTTGTTGAGTACCCTGTGGGGCATGTACAAGTTTTCTAAGATTTACTTGTTGACCAAAGGCAGAGGTTGGTCGCCTCAGTCACCGGTTATCACTAAAGCACAGCTCTGTATGTGCAATGTTCAATGTTTAGAACCCAGTTAGATACCTCACCTTAGTAGTCCATAATTTTCCCAAAAGGCCTAAAACATGCATTTTATGGTTTTGAAAAAGTTGAGAACACTTCCTGGTTTTGTCATTTATTAGTATTTTAAAATGACAGTGCATTTATAAGTTAAAAGAAATACACTGTTCTAAACTAGGCGTGAGAAAGGGGTATCCTTTGTCAGTAGAAGGTACTGTATTTATTCGAATAAGCTTCAACCTCAAATTAGCACCCACCCCGAATAAGCACCCATCCTAAAGGCAGAAGAAGTTAATAAGCACCCACCCACAACCCACCCCCTTTCCCCTCCCACCCCCAGAAAATTGAATAAGTACTTATAAGAGACTCCCCGAAGACGGAGTTTTCGTCAGAGTATTTACAGAAACCTTGATTTGTTACATCTTCCCTTTTCGTTATTACTACTTGTTTTGTTGTAAAATAAACATACTACACCTGCTGAAAATGTTGAATAAGCGCCCACCTCGAATAAGCGCCCGCTCTTAAGGTCCAAAAATAAAATAAGCGCTCAGGGCAGTTAATCGAATAAATATGGTATACGAAAGGGTACTTTTTCTGTCAAAAATGTTATGTAAAAGGGTAAAAGGTTGGACTCGGGGTGGACCCTCCCTGTATAAAACTTTGTTGAGTATCCCGGAGGGCATGTACACGTTTTCTAAGATGTACTTGTTGTCCAAGGGTAGAGGTTGGTCGCCACAGTCACCTGTTATGACTAAAGCACAGCTCTGTATGTGCAATGTTCAATGTTTAGAACTTTTCAGATGAGCTGAATCTTTAGACTGAATTTAAACAAATGCTTTTAGAAATAATCTCGATTGATTTGTTCTTGCATATATCTAACTATTTCACTTAAAAGTGAACATTTTCTTAGTAGTTTCCTGGGGTTGCGAATGGTGGCCATCACCAAATGACGTAGAAGACACATAGCCTGTGTGACAGGCGTTAAAAGGGGAAGGGGAAGGGGGAGGGGAAGGGGAAGGGGGAGGGGGAGGGGAAGGGGGAATTTGGGCACGCGAGAGCTAGAAGACACTGAGCAATACCCACCACTCAACTCAAAAGTGAACCAACAATGGTTTCTGAAATCCCAAGAAAAACCCATTTTGTTTGTTTAATAATCGTTTTCTTTTCATTGCTTTAGGCATACCTGAAATGTATTTTGAAGGAAATAGGACGTTATAATACAAAGAACCCTCACAAGAACATGTGGGAGTTAAAACCAGAATACAGACATTACAGCAATAAGAACAGTAGCGAGGAGGGAGGAGAGGGGACAAGCTCCTGAACACCTGAGCCATATTGCAAGAGGACTGGGACCAAGCTAAAAGCTGTCCTTAATAATACATGTTTATTACATTGTGTCATAGTTGAGGAATGTGAAATAGACTTAATGGAATTCCATCCTACTCGTGCAATATTCAGAAATTTCTTCAGGAATGTGAGACTCATCATGCAGGCTGGTTGTTTTATAGTCAGACAGATGGACTGATGATGAATTGCAAATATATGGCTCCAAATGTTAGATTACCTTAAAACTGAATAAAATAATGTAACCCCATTATGGGAACTTTGTCGCTTACTATGTGTTTAGCGAGAGAGTATACTCAGGCTGAAGTAGTGGCACTCCACTTGCAACTATTAAAAGCAAGAGAGGTTCACACAAAACAAAGTACAGTCAAGATCTTTGTACTGCCTCCTTTGTTGTAAGTCAACTGTTAGTTCAGTTTTCGCCCCTCTCTCGCCCCCTCCTTGTCACGCAGTTGGAATAACGGGGTGGCCGGCAGAATCATCTGCAAAATGTTTTTTAAGAGAAGGCTACTGTGCTGCCTCATACCCAGATGTCTCCCTTTCGATGCGCGCAAAGGAAAGCGGGAAGGCGAAAACCTTCCGTTTAAAATAGTCCCTTGCGCTTCGTCACTAGTCATTTGCGTTTCGCGCTCGCCTCCTCTATGCGATAAACAAGGCGTTTTAGTACCATGACGGCCAAGGCAACGAAAACGTCAATTAAAAAGTGGATTTGCGTTCGTTCAATCTCTATCGCGATTACTCCAACTCATTTACTATGTCGAATTCAAGCGAACTCTTTTTGAGCCGAATTGCCAAGAACCACATTCAAGAATAGAAAGAGAAAGAAAATTCAGCCGTCGCTTGTTTACGTCCTCCATAAAACGTGACATTAGCCATTTTTCCGTCATAGTCGTGCAGTGACGGCAAAGAAATGTACAAAAAAGCGTGATGGACGTGAATAGGTGTTGTTTTGCCTGTTCGACCCAAAGTCCCTAACGACGCCCTAGTTGCGGAAGATCTTCAACCTCGTGCGAACAGTTCCTCGTGCGATGTTTTTCACTTGAATGCGAGGCCGCTCCCATGCGTCATCAGGGCTTACACCAAACCACGTGAACTGGCTAAGCTCAGCAAGGACCGCCATTTTGTTTCTTGGAGCTTGCTGGCAGGGAGAAACAGAAGTTAGTAGAAGCTTGCAAACACGACGAAGGTCCATTTGAAGAATGTCTTGGCAAACTTACGTCGATACTAACCTAGTAGGTACAGGAAAAGTCCAAAAAGCAGCTATATTTGGCTTAGACGGAGCACAATGGGCAACTAGCGCTGGGTTCACTGTAAGTACATTTGAAATGCACTTAGCGCTAGTTCTCTGTTTCTTTAAATTAAACTTGTAATTATTTTTCAACCCGCTACAGCTTACTTGGTCGTCTTATAGCTTGTATACGATTTTGTGATAGGTATCTAAAAAGGAAGCGCAGGACATCATAAAGAGCTTAAAGGATGGCAGTGTCGCCGGCAAGTCCATCGCAGGAACTAAATATATGATGCTGCGAAACGACGCAGAAAAGAAAGCGGCATACTTGAAAATGAAAGAAAAGGGTGGCTTTTGTGCGTGTCTCACCAACAAAGCTCTGGTTTTGGGCGGTTATGATGAAGGCGCAGGAGGAGCTGGGAATTGCAACCAAGTCGTGGAAACCTTAGCAGAATACCTCGTCGGTTCAGGATTTTGACTTTTCAAGGCTTTTGGTATGCTGTAAGAACATGAAATAAGCTTAATAAAAATTTTGGGTACACATTTGATTCAGTTAACCGTGTACACGTCAATATTTTAGCTTTAAAAGTTTGACAAAGTTTGTAGTTTTCGTCTCTAGAAGCACTGGAAGTATCGCGATAGCAAGAAAAGTACTGCTTTATCGAATCACTGATTTTGTTGAAACTTCGGCAGTTATTTTTCTAAAACAATAAAAGTTATACTGTTTTTGGTATGTGATCTGTGGAAGTCTTTTGAAAAAACAGAAACTGAAGTGTTAATAAAACGTGATCAAAAAATAATACGACTTGTATTTTTAATTGATTTAAGGACCGAGTATTCCTTACGATTACGGTCATCGTAAGATTAAGGTCATCATGCAAAATATGAATAGTCTTGCCTGGTCAGTGGCAAAGGCTAAACCCTGGAAGTGTGCATTTTCATTTACAGTCAACTCACTAAAACAATTACACCTTGACCCACTCTTTTCTGTATTATAGGCCTAATCAAAAGATCAGAATTGAAAAAGAGCATGCCGAAGTAAGTGACATGGCAAAGTTTAATGCTATAAATGCTGCTCAGTTAATGGAAAAATTTCTCAATTTAATTAGGTCATGGCACAAGATGCTGGAGAATATGGCCATGCACTGTGCGGTTTGGTCATGTTGCCAATCTGAACATGCTCGTTTTAATGGTTATAGCAAATAAATAAATATATTTAAAAAATTATTTAAACAATTTTATAATGACGTTTAGATATAACGTGCACTCTGATTGGCTGAAAAAGCGTGCATTACAGAGTTTAGCACCACAGGACAGTGTCACACCACGGAGCTTAAGCTGTTACACCATCAATTGTTTGTTTTAAGATTAGGAAGTAATGGGTGGGGAATTTAACAGAGTCTTTATCATAAATCAAATAAAGAAGCCTTGGCTTTGCTCTGTTATGTTGTAAAGCACTTAAGAAGGGCACTCAAAAAGCAGGGGGGGAACACAAGATGCAACAGAACAGAGCACTGTCAAGGATACTTTACTTGCTACACAAAGGATTGTCACCATTGAGCACCAACAACAAATCAATTCCATACATTTATTTAGATGACACGATAACAATGGCAGTAATTATCACTGCAAGAAACAGTTTGCATACTATACTAAATTTTCAGTTTTTTTTCAGAACTCCTACCACAAAGTCCACAGAACTTGCCCAAAAAGTCAAAAACCAGCTAGCTGGGTTAAAGACTAATATACCTTGAAAAATCTTAATAAAATTCACTCTCACCAACTGGGTCAAAAAGGATGAGGAGGTTGTTGACTAAGTACAGAGGCCTCCTTAGAGTCACAGTGTATTTAAGTAACCAATGCTTTTTATTAACAAACAAAAAAGGTGCTCACGTGCTCATATTTCATGTTCTAGCAACCCTCCCACTCAAGGCCTGACGTAACAGACTTTTTGGAAAGCTATGGATTGTCTTCTGGGTGTCTGGCTTAGAGGAAATCCATTAACTCTTAAATGTGGTCCAACATCTTGGGCCCCTCATTTTTACGTAGGGATTTTTTCAAGTAAAAGTGGCAGTTTGAGCAGCACCATGTTTAAAATAGTTAATGTAAAAATGTGTTCATTTTCCTCAAAAAAATTTATAGTAATTTTATAAATAATAATCCTTCTCACCCAAACAAAACTGCAGATTCTTTTTATTAGTTTGTATTAGTCTTTGTATTTGTAATAACAATAATAATTTTGATTACTATTATTATTATTTTACTTTTAAGACATTTTTTAGCAATGTTGTTTAGTCTCATAGAGCAGTTAGATTCCCCTAAGGCTTCGTTAGTTATGTTATGCACCCTATGCGGTTAATGGTCCGCTTCCTTAAGTTTTATCCTGCAGACAATAATAATGGTAATAAATAGTAAAATAAAAACAATTGACAATTATTGGATAAGGCTGAGTGTGATCTAAAGAATTTTCCATAACACCCTCCTCAATCTCCATGATTTTTCACATCATACTCAGCCTTTTCCACCAATTTATTGGTAAACATTCACACACCATCTTAGACAGCTAGTAATTCTGTGGGTTTCTGAACATATACTTTTGACTATTTTTAGCCATTCCTTTGTCTAGGTCCATTAAGTAGTAAATAGTAGTAGCAAACAACAGACATTTAATAACTTCTATTAGAGAAAATACAATGTAACATAAGAAAAACGACACTGTTTCTACAGTGATAAAACAAAGTGTTTAACATATAACTGGTACAGCTGTACCTAACAGGCCATGTAAATCATATACGTATGACAAACAGAAACCTTTCCCTCCAAGAGTCTGTTATTGCATACTCTTTAATCTTTGTAGTCTTTGAATGATTTCCTGAGGAATGAATGAAACCTCTATCGACTTTCCAGATACTTTTCCCAGAGAAAAGGTTAAAACACTCATGATCCATTAAAGCACTGAGCACAATCACAATTTTGACTTCTTAACACAAAATAGCAACGTTCAAAAAAAGACCAAGGTCTGCTAGAAAAGGAAGAAAAAAGGAGAGGAATAGAAAGCTAAGGCAGGTAAAGAGAGGACCTGCCACTTCCTCTCTGTTGTTCCTTTCACTTTCCTCCCTTTTCCCTTTCATACTTTTCTCACCACACCAACCCCACCCCCAACTTTTTTTGCACTTACCAGACAGGCAAGATCATTTTCAGTCTACTCCTTTTGGTTCCTTAAGGCCTGGTTCAAACACCTTAATTCCATGTGCTGAACCTAATAATTAAATAAGGTCAACCTTGGAGCAATGCTGGCATGACATCTGATTCAGACAGCGCACTGTATGTTGAACCTAAGTTAAGTTTGACAAAAGTTTGACTGACTCTGTTGAACTCAACTCTTTTGCCGCACCAAACTAAAACTGCTGTAACCAATTGAATCAGATGCCACTCTTTTGGCATACTTAAATCAGTTAGGTTCGGCACATGAGTAGAGCCGCGTCTGGAACTGGGCTTAAGAATAGCCTGTACTGTAGGTGAGGCTGAATACCTTGTAGTATAAATGGCTTACAGTGCGACTAATCGAACTGGGGCGCTTGGAAGGAGATTATCCAATCACCACGGTTTTTGAAAAAAAAAAAGGGTTTTCAAGTTTTTTTGCAAACAGAACAATAACATTCACGAATTTAAGGGCTGTTTCCTGAGAGGTCAGGTTAATTCAAACAGTTTTATAGTTTTCAGCCAATGAACAGTTGAATGTTGAATTTTATTGGTCCTCTTGCAAAAACACTTAAGAATCGTTAGTTTACAAAAAATGTTGTGAGTCGGGATAAAAATCTTCTCCCAAGTGCTCGGTTTGAGTAGTTGCACTGAAAAAGTGATTAATGTCGCAGTACATTTTGCTACTACAAGAAGAAATGCATGAAAAAGAAAAGAAATTTGAGAGCTTAAAAGAGTATCCACAATGGCACTGAAGGGAGAATGATATATAGTACAAGCAGTTTTAACACTTTTAGTATGCATTTTATACTGTTATATTTCTTATTTACATACAACTTACCTAATCTTAAATGAAATTTAACATGAAATTTGGATGCTCACTTTTACTTTTTTGTTCTGTCTATATGAGCTTGAAAGCCATATTTTCAGTCTACAGTTATAGCGCTTCATAAATATGCCATTAAAAATATTATGGCCAAGCACTTTAAAAACTTGGCCAAGAGCAAAATTCCTCCAGCAAAAATGAGTCTAACTAGCATGAGAATAAGACATTTCAGTATCAGAGACTTTCCACTTAACCCTGTTTTAATACTCTAAAACATAGCTTAACCCTTTAAGCCCCAATATCCACATACAAATTCTCCAAACTGATCTCTATTATAGTTTCTTAAAGAATGAGTTGAGAGAATTTGACAAAAGATCAAAGCATTTTCTCTTAGGTGATCATTTTATTAATTCTCATAACCTAGTCTCTTGACAATGTACGGATATCATTGGAAGAAAATTGATTTTTGTCACTATTGGGACTTAAAGGCTTAAGGCAACTTGGAAATGACCTATTCAGTCACACACTACCATGGAAAATTTCAAGAAATTTGGCAACAAAGCAGTTACAAAGTTCTAAATTATTACTACATCTTGTCAGGTTTGGGTTCCCTACAATATAAATTTTAGTTTTGCTTCTGACACTGTGTTCACTCAAGGGCAGAAAATCCCCCTTACAGTGACAAATTATAATAACAAACTCTTACACAAAAGTTTAAATAATGTGTGTCACACCTTAGGTAACCTATATTATGGAATCATGAATGTGTATAATTTGAAACGAATTGATTTCGAATTGCTTCAAAATAATCAATTTCACTTTTTAGCTTAAAGGTTATAATCAATTACCCTTTCAGCACTTGAAATCATAAACTAATATCCACACTATCATTAATAATAATAATTAAAAAAACAAGTCGAAGCTCTTACTGCAGCCTGCAACAAGGATAAGTAGAATAAAAGAAGACTAGAAATTGTATAAATAATAATTTAACAATATTTTTATTTAACTTGAATTCTCTTAATCTAAACGTCAAATGCAAAGCTACAAAGCTAGTTCATTACAAGGATATAAATTCATCACCGTGACTAAACTACATCTAGACCTTGTTGAAGGGAATCAAATGGTCAAGTCTTTAAATGAGGTCAAACTGTAAAAGGACAAGTCACTTTCCCCAAACTAAGAAATTCAAATGAGCATTTGACTAAACTGTCAAGGAGTTTGATGCTACACTGGCAGAAGTTGAGCCAATAAGAGGAGTTGTTTCATCAGCATCATGACTTGTCTCTCCTGAACCTGACTCTACATCATTTCTGTCTCTTCTGTTACGTGCTCGCGATCTCCTGTCATTTGATACAGGTCTCTTACAGACTGGGCAAGTCCGCTTTCCTTCAGTCAACCAAGGATCTACACACTTACAGTGGTAAGCTTTGAAAAAACAGGTGAGCAGT